CTGGAGCCCATAGTCAGTTAGCATAGCTTACCATAAGGATGGAAACAAGGGAAAACAGCTGGGATGTCCAAAAATAACAAAATCTGCCAGCACTTCTAAAGCTCATTAACCAGTTCATATCTCTTGTTTAAACTGAACAAGTCTTTCTATCTTATTGTCACAGAGACTGAAAAACTCCTTTAAAATGTTCCAGTAACTGAAACCTCAGAGTTTCAGTGCTGTTTCCCCCTCATTTCAATAGTTTTAAAGACTTTGTCCTCTTTCTAAGCACTGTGGTGCTCCTCACTGATGTAAATAGACTGTAAAGGCTAAGCTGACCGACAGCAGAGCTGTGGCAAACATTCTACCTACTAAATTAAATAGATTTGATTTCAAGGTATGGATTCAAGCTACATATTGAAGTATGGATTTTTCCTTCCACACATAATTCTTTGTGATAGAGTCACAAGAGCTGACACAATTAAAAGGGTTTTTCCTATTGGAGCAAATAGTTCCAGTCAAAAACATTCAAGGTCAGGTTGTTTCTGGAAAACAATGCTGATGTTGGAATTTTCACTGCTTTGAGGAGCATAAACACCAGCACACTGACTGTCCTAAAGTGAAGGCACAAATCTCAAATAAAACCATACTATCTCTATGACTAGATACAATAAGGTAAAAGCAACCATTGGTTCTTTGTCTGAACTAAGGCTAGTTTGGAGAAGAAAAATCTGAACGCAGGCGGTGACAAGTTGAACAGAGCTGGCTCCAAAGGCGGCTCCTGCATTGACGTAAAGGAGGGCAGACTCATGGCAGACACCTGCTGTGCTCCTTTTAAATAATCACAAACTGATGCCAACAGTGGCACACACACACACACGAGTCTGAGCATGCCAGTAAACATGGGCTGGTGATCCGGGCAGGCCTCGGCTATCTTTGGCATCTCCTCTGCACTGGTGGCTGCTGTGCCAGGCTGCCCAAGCCGCGATGCCATCTGACGCAAACTGACAGCACTACCAGCTGTTCCCCAACCTTAGTCATGTTAGTATATCTGGGTTTTTTTTTTATCTGTTTTTTTTTTTTAAGTGCATGATTGTCATGGAGCTTTACACCATTTAAAGTGTTACACTGATGTTCATCCGTATTTTTTAAAAAGCCCATGAGACAAATTAATCACAGCAGTATGCACTATTGCACCAAAACATTTACTTAACATTGCTTCACAACCCTGTTTTTTTCATTAGTTTTTACTTTGTCTTCATCTTACAATGCCCCTAAATCCACCAGGATCCATGCAACGCCTATTTATTTCTCCGGTCTCCCTCCCATGTATTTGTTGGCCTTATTGCTTTTCTATGTACCAGATCCTCTGCTGCCATCTAATGGTTTCCTTAGGCACTGTTAGAACATTCCAGGGAAATATTTCACTGTAACATCCTTTTTCCTTTTTGAACATTAGTAAATAATAAGTGATGGAAATCTGTGCGCCATATTTAACTGTGTAACAATACATATCCACTGAGTTTGTAAACATTTAGTGGCTGAGGTTAAGACAAAAGCTAGTAGTGGCACCAGTTTGTGTCAGAGGGACTTTATTTATGCATTTCATTTCATCCCTCAGACTGGTGCTATTAGTATTAGAAGGCTGCCATCTTCAGGTCAAAACATACCACTAATTATTCCACATCTAGCTGTTATAATAAAGACTTTTCTTCTTTGAAATAATAACGGTATTCTGCAAGACATAAAAAGAAAATGTGGCTTGGTTGTATTATTGCTAGTAAACATTGTAACTGTTGCATGTGTTTTTGAATCGGACACTTTGGCGGGATCACCTAAATGGTGAGAAAAAAATATAAGGTTGAAAATCGCAATAAATTGTAAAGAAATTAAATCAGTGGTTCATAACCTTTGTAGCTTGTGAAACTTACAAAAAGCTGTGTAGGCTAAGCCCCTTGTCTATTACTAACGAAACTTCTCAGATGCTTTCATGTAAATAATTATGCAAGATGCTAAATAATGTGGTATACAATATTTTACAAACATTCTTAAAAGGCTGAAGGTGACAACAGAACTAGAAGCAAATTGAACCTTCATCTGTAAAAGACAGGATGAACGCTACTCTAAATTTTTAAATATTTTAGTCAAAGAAAGCACAAAGGTGGCGCTTCAAGCTGATTTGATGTAGGGCAAATATTACAGCAGTCCTATAGGCAAGGTTTTGCACTATGTTGTGTTAATATAACACCCTGATTTGTATTGTGTGGATGCCTAGAGACAGTCGTCAGGTCCAAATATATCCCCAAGCCACCTTGTATTTTGTCCAGAAGATGGCAGTCTGAGAGCACCACAGATTGATTCAGGGCTGTTTGGGGAGTAATAAAATGCTAATAGTAATGTAATCTTTTCTGATGATTTTTTTGGAATTGTTGCAAAATTACAGCTGTGTATGTCTTTCCACTAATATAGCTGTTTAAAGAAAGAGATGCTGGAATGTACAGTATAAACTGTTGAATGTAGCCAACACTATTACAGTGAATTGGCCATACAAGCAGTCATGACAAAATAATGCAAGAGCTCTGACGGAACAGTGAGGGCAGATGGGGAGCATGATGAGATCAGCTGGAACACAATGTGATTTCTTTCCTCCCCTCTGTCTGTGGACCTTTTCCACATCACAGTTTGGGCAGTCGTCCAACAAAACAATTATCAAGCATGGGAATCCCAGCTCTGCTCTCATGCATACCCCTCCCTCCTCTCTCTACACTATCTTTCCTCCTCTCTTGCTCCCTGCAGCTGGCTTCAGGCGAGAGGAGGCCAAGTTTATTTTCTCCACGGTGGTCTCTTTGGGGTGGCGGCGAGGCCCCTGCCACACTGCCACTGATGTATTAGGTGAGGGTCTTTGGAGAAATGTCGGTGCGGCTCTTTTATAAGGCCTACACTACTCAGTCTTATTGTTTCTATCAAAGTATGCTTGGTGCGGTCTTTTTTTTTTGCATGGACAGAGAATGAGTGTTTGTAACAGACATCTGGCAAAAAGTAGTCCTAATGATGAAATAAGCAAGAATACAGCTGAATAAAAAATTAGCATGTAAGCCTCGTAAATAATGTAAATATCTCCATGACAACTGAAAAGACTCCATTTGTCAGTAAAGATCACAGGATGCCACTGAATGTTGAAAGAAAGCCAGAAAGAAGACACCAAGTTAGGATTAGTTTGTGAAATATTTTCTAAGGTCAAGAGTAAAGTTTCACCTTCAGTTTAAATGTAACTCGGGGTGTCCGGGCCACTGCAGTGGTATGTATAGGTGTGCGTACTTACCATTTGTGGTAAACTTACCTTAGTAAGAGAAGCTATGTCTCAATGAAAAAAATACTCAAATAGTCAAAGTCTCACATTCACACTTTTCTAGGAGTATTACTAGCAAAATATATTCAAAGTATCAAATACTCTTACAAAGAGAATGGCTCCAAGCCAGTGTCAGATTATCACTGTGTAAGTAACTCACTTTTAATGCACAATGATGACACATGCTGTAGTTAGACTGAGCTCACATCATCTGGAGTTTTACTGTAGTGGCCTACTCAAACTGAAATAGGTTTATGTTTTAAAAAGATAGTGTGTGTGTGTAAAATAAAATAAAAAAATGTATTACAAATACATTTATAATGTATCATATCTTCAAATATATGAAAGGTTCTGTATGTAAAATGTACCCAGTACCTATAGTACACTGCATAGTACCCAGCTTTTAGATGCTGTGGAGTAGAAAATATATTAAGTAACGCAAGCAACTAAGTAAAGCATTCTTTTAAAATATGCAAAAGAAATGCCTTAAGCTTTGTTTTTTCAACAGAACAAGTGTGTTTTATGGAGCATGGCGTCCATATGCAAGTTGAGTTTTAAGCTGTTGTAGGCAGGTCATGCTTTCTTTTTATTACCCTGACAGAGCTTGGGACCACCCTTGCTGGAGGAGGGAGAGAGTGTCAGAGATAGATAGACATAGATAAAAAGGAAAGGGACTCTGCTAAAAAAAAAAAAAAGTTCATATACCAATTTGACACTTCTCTAGCAGTTTCTTTTAAACTTTCATCCCGCATAAATAACTGTCGGCATGATGTAAACACAGCGGTCATAACCCGGAGAAATTAAAACAACAGGTCTGGGAAAAAAAAAAAAAGTTCATCTACCAAGTTGACACTTCTCTAGCAGTTTCTTTTAAACTTTCATCCCGCATAAATAACTGTCGGCATGATGTAAACACAGCGGTCATAACCCGGAGAAATTAAAACAACAGGTCTGGGAGGGGGTTCAAGCGCGAAGCTCTTCTACAACTGTGAAATTATCCAAGATGTCTTCCGACCTGGGGCGTCTCGGACCGGGGGTCTCAATTCTGATTGGCTGAAGCTTAATAGTCGGTCCAATCCGTGCACACCTGTAGGCGCGTGATAGTTAATTAGCCTAAATGTAGCCTAAATAGCCTATGCTAACTAAAATTCACATTTAACGTTTACTTGGGCCTGATAATGTTTTAAAAATAAAAATTATAAACAGGTTGTTGTATAATTGAATAAAGATTTACAAAATGTGCTGCTTAGTGGCTGTCACGTTAAATTAAAAGCAATTATATCCGCAGACCTAGGCCTATTAGCATATTATAAACCTCAAACTGTGCATTTTAAGACTACCTTTTTCAACATTTACCACCGAAGCTGATAAGGAGATCAACTTAATTTGACTTGTTTAAATTACAAGAGCACTAACTACATTTTTTTAGGATCACAGATAATCTTTGAATGGCAAAATGTTTGTTTATGTAATGACAGCCACATCCACCTCTATCTGTTAGAAACAACAGAGGAAGAATTATCTGCACAGACGCTTTGTTGGTGCTCAGATTCTGCTATTCTCAAGGAGTGGAGTGATAAGAGAGGTTACTAGGTCAAAGCATGGGCCACACACGAAAAAAAAAAATACATTGGGTACACGGAGTGTAAAGGTGATACAAATATATTTTATATACATGTAATCTGTACAACCATTTGAAGGAGTGGACACTTTTCCATCCATATAGGCCTAACGCAGCTGCCAAAACAGGCCTGCATGAGTAAATATGCATCGGCAGTGTATAAACAAGCCATTTAATACACATAGTTTACCTTTGAACCAGCAAAGACAACACTAAGTGACATAATGAGTTTAAATAAAATTCTACTTTTCTTTACGGGAACGAATGAAAGGACATACTCCCTGCGTAATTCCCACTCAGAGCCTGCGGAGACGAAACGTGCATTTCAGTCACAAGGTTTTTCTTGGAAATGAGCGGTTCCCTTGAGAAACATACTGAGGTGTCCGTGTGGCTGCATCAAGACGCCGTCGTTCCACATAACCTTGTTGTATTCAGCATCTCCTTCAAATCGTTCTCCGGTTTACCTGCAACCATGAAAGGCCACGTCTGCGGAGGAAAATACAGTCAGATAAACAGCTCCTTAACACCATCAATGAATCAAAACAAACGGTTATGTGTCAGTTAAATCACATGCACGGATTGGGTGAATGAATTTTTTTTTATAAAAAGCGATTATTATGATCAGATGCATTGAATAAAAAAGTGTGGCCTCTGCAGCTCCACTGTTCTGACGTGTAATTTTCCAACAAGCTCATAGTCATACGATTTAAATGTGTCCGATAATGGGTCTGACAGTTAGTTGAGGGCTTTTAGCGAATATAATAGGCTACTTTCTCTTCTAGATCCGATATGACGTTATTTTCACGTAGTTACACCACTGCATCAGCTAGATTACTCTGTCAATTTTTTGCGATATAAAAAGACAGGCCTATATTTATTATAGTTGGCAAACCAGTTTTGCTCTGAGGTAAAGGTGTCTGCATATTGCAGACAGCATAAAGAGAAAATTAGTCTCTTCCTCGATGCACCTGCTTGATAAGGCTACCACCCTAATTTATCACCTTGGTTTGGTACTATATCAGGTTCAGTGTGGCGTCTGCAGCCCTGGTTAAAATAAGTTCTAATCAGTTCTTAAATAAAAAATTAAAACAGAATAAATAGTATGGGTCATTATGATTTAAACAGAATCACTCAGTAACTCCTGTATTGTTATAATATTGGAGGGAATACAAATTGGCCTTATAAATGCTGTCTCAGTTGCGGTTTCCCTAAACTCCAGTCTCCCGTCTCCCGTCTTACCAGGTTAACAGGGTGGATATATCCGTTTTCATATTTGTCGTTGGCCAGTATCTGCCGGAGGTGCGCGATGTAGCTGGAGGCGAGGCGCAGGGTGTCCAGTTTTGAGAGCTTGGTGTCCGGCGGAACCCAGGGTAAGGAAGTCTTCAGCCGGGAGAAGGCCTTGGACAGGACGCGCATCCTGGCTCTCTCCCGGGCGTTGGCCGCGTTCCTCTGCACCTGCTTGCCCTCCTTTTGTGCGACACCCTTGGGTGCCGTTTTCCGGGACGCTGTCTTCCTTTTCTTGCCCGGCGCGCCTCTCCGGTCGTCGCTTGCGCAAGTGCCCTCGCAATTGGAGCTCTCTTCTGTGCTCTCGTTTGAGTCTTTGCCAGAGGAGCCAAACTTCAGGATGCCGTCAAGGAGCTCATCGTCGACATCGCTTAGAGACCCGGTGGACATGGTGAACTGGAGTCTCCAACTGGAGCGGGCTCAAAACATGGGAGCGGGAAGCTTCGGCTGGGCAGGAATGAACAGGGTTGGCAAACACACGCTTTAGTGGCGTGTCAAGAACCGCTAACTGTGCGTGGACAGAGCAGAAAGGAGCAGACGTTTTATCTCCGTGACCATAGAGGGCGTTACCTCATGCAGGGAGGAGACACCAGTGCTGGTTCCCAACGGTTTGTAGGACCCCAATGGACCTTGGATGAGTCCCCAGTAAAATACTGATTTGTTTAAACACAGTTGGGGAATGAATAATGGTGAAGAGATATGGTCAAATGACTGAAATCTTTCTATTTCTGAACCCCTTGAACTCAGTGGGACCCTAAACTTTAGTTTGAGAGGGTTTGTGAATGACTTGGTAAAAAAAAAAGAGGGGGCACAGATTGCAAACACACAAAAGTTCAAATTGGAGTATTTACATACTGCCATTAAAATGCAAACAGCTCCTTCATCCTGATTGAAAATGGATTTGAATATAAATATGGTTGACACTTAAAAAAAACAAAAACATTTTGGAAGCAATAAAAATTGTAATATTGTCTGTCAAACTAGTGGCTGGGCCCATTTTTGTTCACATTAGGTTTAGAGGTTAACCTTTAAAACTCAAGACAAATGTCATACAAGCTGAAGCACAAATAGGAAACCATTCTCTTAAAGACTAAAGTCTAAAACAAAATCACATAGGGTTAAAAAAATAAATAAGTGGCAAACATTCTTTGTATGTATAATTTTGCAAATGTAAATGGCATAAAGATGTTTATTCTTATAACCTAGAAATCAGTTTGAAATATGACTAAATTGCAATATTTTGTTTTTTTATTATATGTTATCTTTTAGAGGCTATGTGTCTTAGATCAATAGTCATCATTGTAAAAATATGGTCAAAAAAGTTATTTTAACTATCAAATAAATCATAAATCAATATATTCTTACACAATAATATTTCTGACTTATCAGAAAATCAGTATTTAGCCTGTTCCGCTCACAGAGCCCATGTAACTTTCAGCACATCTTGCCAGTTAACGGGATAAAGTGCAAGGACAGAGGGGGTGTCATGTCTCGAATGGCAAACTGGCGCCTTGGTCCCCTCTGATGTAATGGATACCCGGCACCCACAATCCTCTGTTTGGCCTTCCACATCATTCCACACCGATGCTCTATGCACTAGTCCACTCAGGGCCAAGTCCAAACAACAAGTCTCTGGAGCTACGTCTCTGTGGGCGTGGGTGCACCAGAAGAACACATCACTTTTTTCTCTAAACTCTTCATTGTGATACCGAAAGACTGAACTATGTCAGTTTATGTGAATGCATTTGGTTATGTTTGTGTCTGAAGCAGCACACTTACATGCAGCTGTAGATCCTACTGGTGGATGCAGGGTTGTGTGTGTATCTGTGTGTGTGAGTGAACACAATGCCTTTGCCTAGACAGCTAAAGCGGGTGCAAGGATAAGAGGTGTGTCTCTTGAGAGCTGACCTTTAACCCCTTTGCTTCCGGTGTTACAGAGCATCTAACCAAGCAGCAACCTTAAGTTTTAGCCTCAATGATACTAACAACCACAGCTTGATCAAATAATTGGAAATGTTTAAAATCTTTAAAGGAACAAAGGGATAGATATTACAAATTTCAAAGAACAAGACATTTTGGAAGGAAGTTCACACAACTGAGCCACAAGAGAGAAGGGCAGCGCTATACAGAACAGACAGAAAAAGAGAGAAAGTCAGAGGTAGGTGTGGGAACAGAGTCAGGAAGAAAAAAAGAAGGGGGCTTAATCTTGTGGGTGGGCTGCAAATCAAAGCACTTAATGGAAAAGTAATAATAGAGGCTGCTGGATTGATGATCACCTCTGAGATACACAGATCCACCAGAGAGTTTTGAGAGAGTGAGGGAGATGGAGATGAACTAAAATAGCTCATGAAAAGACTCACGCTGTCCTTTTTCCCCTCTCCCCTCTGCGTGGATAAAAGACAGACCCTGATGTAATCCTATCATAACTATTATTTCTACTCGTAGGCTGGAATACTCATGTGGTCTGTACTGGAGAAGACTGTGTCACTTATTATATGAAAGTTCTTAGCATTAGATTAGACTTTTTTTTTTTGTTACAATCCTTCATGTGAATGATAAAACAAACTACAATGAGTGTTTAGGAAACCTTTTCATCATTTTCCATTCCAAGAGCCTCGGTCACACACACACACAGTGACATGAGGCAACAGGTGGAAGGGGGGTGGAGGGAGAAAGATGGCAAGAGAAAAAAGAGGGGACCCTGGCGTTTATGGAGGGACAGGCTGCTAATTAGCCGGTTTTGGGTCAGAGGTTAGGCTGGTTGTGTGATGTCACCATGAAGGGACAGGTTCCAGATGTTGCTCGCAGGGCCACCGAGGGGGACATCATCATTTCTGACTCACATGGATAAAACACCTTTGTTTAAAGTGAATTAATTTACAGTAATATGGAGCATAAAATGGAATTGAAAACAAGACTTTCACAAAATAGTTTTTCTCATCCTCTTTCCTAGCCCTGAAAAAGGCAAAGAAACCTGGGGACAATACATTACAGTGTGGAAAGACCTACTAATGTGAGAGAAATAGAGCATAATATGAAACAAAACACAGTTCTATTTACTGGGAAAACATTCCACATGTGTTTTTTGTAATTCAACAAATGCAATGAAAAACAAAAAATGAAAACAGAAGTTCCTTGGTGGCTGTATGGACAAACAGAATGAGAAACTGCAATTTGGACCAATGCTTCGGGTGAGAAAAACATCATCCATCTATGTCTAAGCTATCTAGTTCTCTGTCCCTTATCACAGCCATACTCCCCCAACACACATACAGTACACAGTCACACGCACATACTGTATGCACAAACTGCTGTTCACCTTAGTTCAAGTAGAATTTCTAAAAAAAGAAGAAAAATCAAAGCAAAATAACCAAAAGAGAGGTTACAGAGAGTGCAGAGATACAGCAGGAAGCAGAGCAAAGTCACTGCAAAAGGATATGGCAGACAAACTGGGCAATAAGAGAGAATTATGAACATGTTTATGGGAGTGGAAATATCATATTATATTTCAGAAAGACTTCAGTCCTTTGATATTCAGTGACAGGAACATCCGGGGGGAGGCAAACAGTGATTTTCCAGAATAAGACAGATATTCTCTCATGTTGTAGGTTAATGACCTGGAAGTCTTGTCCTTAAAGTGTGAGGGAGTCCAAGGGTATTGGTCTCTGGAATGTCTGCACACATGCGCACTTACTCTGTCTGCATTAGAGTGTTAAATGTATTGGGTTTCACGAAGGCTATGAAAGACAGATAATGTTGTGCAACATACAGCTACTGTACATACAGTATGTGAAAAATAAAATCAGAGAATCTGTGTAATGCCCATGAAGGGTTGCTTTAATGTCCCTTTCCTCCATCATCTCACTGGCTGGTCAGATGACTGAGACAGCAGGCTGTCACTGTCATCAAAAACACTGAGTTGTCACATTCACGCTAATACCCATTCATAGCTAAGTCTATAATAATCAGCTAAATCTGATAACGCTGTTGATGTGTGTGAATTACATGCATGCTCAATAATGGTTTTAGGTTGTTTCAGCAAGGAGATGTTCAATATAATGTGACACTGGCTGTTTTTTTTTTAGATTTTAGATGCATGAAAAACGATGGGTATGAAAAATGCTAGCCTAAGAGTGACTAGAGGGCCTAACTGGAGAGAGGGTTTTAAGCTTTAACCAGTTTAATGTGATGGACTGTAGTCCCAGCATGCTGTTCTTCTCCTTGAAGGTCATTTGCTTGGTGGCTAGTTGTTAAAGAGAAATGAAGACAAATGAAGGTCACAGAAGAAAAAAAAAAGAAATCAACCTTTGGACAAGTGAAAGGAGAGAAACAGACATAAGTAACAAGGCATAGACTGCAAAACAATCAGCAAATGTATGAAAAGATTCACAAAGTCTGTCCCTGATATCGCCAACAGGCGTTGCTGTACTGGTGGCACTACCCAGAGTGCACACACACACACACACCATCACACAAGCTGTACTGGCTTGAAGTTGAACTGGCTGAGAAGCTAAAGTGTTCTGTCGGAAGTAAGTGAGACGTGGTGCAGCTGCAGTTCGAGTGTGTTTGTGTGTGCATGTGTTCTGTTACAGTGTGTGCCACTTTTTAACCTCTGCTGCAACCTCAGGTCTAACATGTGGCCTGGTGATCGGATGCACAGATAAAAGCAGAGAGTGCGTGTGTGTGGCTTCACTTTGCAACACTGTGCAGAAGGGTAGTGTGGGACCTAGCGCTGGGTTACAGAGTCAGAGGTCTGGTCTGCGTCACCGTGACTGAGACTACACTTTATAAACAGAGAGGGAGAGGGACACCGCTGAGTTTTCTATCTCGCCTAGCGGTACTGTATGGATGACTGTGTGCATGTGGTTTGATCTTCTAACAGGCCAGAACTCCCAGCACCCTACTAAATCCTGCTCAGTGGCTGTTCGTTCTCTCCCCTTCTTGCTCTCCATCACTCAGATTTGCCCCCCATCTGCCCTCCTCCACTATCCCTACTGCTGTTGTTGGATGTCTGGTCAGTTCTGTCTAGCCAAAACAAACTGAATCAAAACAGTTGTGGAAAAAAAAAGACTATTTAGCCAAAATGCGGCCACACACTGTTTAAAATGCTGTTTAAACATTAATACCTGCATTTGTGTGTTGTATACATAAAAGCAGATGTAGAGGTACTTCATGGGACAAAAGCAGTGAAAATCTAAAAAATGAAAAGGTCAATATAAAGTGTAAAAATAGTATCAGTCACTTCAATTAATCTTTTTTTCTGAGGTGAAAACCAAGTCACATTTCATAAAGTTAAAATGGAAATTCTCAATTTGTTTTTAAGACAACAGTAAATAGAAAATATGCACAAATAGGAGAAAGAATAGGAGAAAAGAGACACAATGTATTTATAAATATACATGTATAACTTTTAACATAACAAATGTATATACCAACTTTTGCAAATCAATTCAAACAAATGTTTTTCCTTTAATTTTTTTCAACCCTGACCTTAATCTGACAGCACAACAGTTCCCAGAACAGAATACCAAAGATCTGGGAGTGGTACTGCAGCCTAAAAAAGACTCTGACTAACACTAATCACAGATAGAGAGCATATAAAATCCACTGTATTCAACCATATTTTAGATTTGATTCAA